CTGTTCAATAGGAATGAGCTGTCACTTTAAAACAAGCGGATAGAAGATGACAGCATTGCTAAAAACATGATTGAAAAGGTATAGCCCACTGGCTCCCATTTACATTTAAAATTCTCAAACTGGAGCTTAAAGTGGACCTTGTACTACAATTAAAGTGATAGGAAAGTCAAAAGGATTTTAAGCTATTTCCAATGCTAATGAAATCACTAATACAATGGATTCTGCTCCTTAATGTCTAAAAGTCTTAGTTTCCTGCAGAATCAGCTGGTCCCCTGAGCACTGGTCCTGACTTCCTGTTTTAGAGAGACTCCTTTCTCAAGCAGAGTGCTATGCAGTCACCCTTGTGTGTGCTAGTAAGCTGTGTTTAAATTGCTGGAATCTGCTCTGTCCTTTGTGATCTAGTCCCGGACAGGAAGTTAGGGAAGCTGTTCAGATACATGATGATTTTAAGTGTTGGGGCAAAAATGTAAAGCATTGCTTTGCCTTACTCCAAGGCTTCCAGCAGGTGCACCTACCCAATGTGATCTCAGTAGGTCTTCTTGTGATATGCTTGGAGAGCCAAAGATCCCAAACTCTATGGGAACATGCTCCTGTACAGTGCTATATGTGAAAAATGGGACCATGAGCTTTCCCAAGATTCCTCTATGAGGCCAGTGACATCAGCATCAGGAGCCTGGGAGTAAGACAAATATTTTGAATGTAATTTTCTTTAATATGTGGTTTTCTTCCTGTATTGCAGTGCTTTGACAACAGGGGGCGAGGGTAGCCACATAGGTGGACCTTGGTAGGTAGTCATAGGTGGCCACATAGGTGGACCTTGGTAGGTGGTCATAGGAGGCCACATAGGTGAACCTAGTGTTTTAGTGCAAGATCCGCTTTAAGGTCGCTGTAAAAGCATCAACAAAGCTGCTCAAAGCTCTGCAAATGCTTACTGTATACACTATTCCTATACAAGCTAAAGATCTACGATCCTTCCGAGTTCCTTCACAGGTGCTTCCATTTTCATGCTGACCTGCACTGGACCTCCTAAGCTATGAGAAGAAAAGCAGTTGTAATGCACAAACCCTAAGAGGTCACAAATGTTCTGGACCTTGAACAGTAAGTCTCTAATAAAAAGTATTACAGATTTCAGTCAATGGTCTCCACAAACAAACTTCCCTCCTCCAGTTAAGATCCTGATTCAGAGGTTACACACCCCTGGTCTAAAGATACCCATATCCTATAAACTATACAATTTTTACAAATGAGGAAAAAAATCTAAATGTTGCTTGGGATAATAGAAAGCAGTAAAAATGGTCACACTGGCTTCAGAAGACTTCCAGCAAAGTGGAACTATCTGTACAGTTCAAACATACAGTACATTTAAAACAAACGTGTCTGGAAGGAATATGGGGTTGCGAGTACAACTCTTGACCCCTATAGGTATTTGGCAATTGTTGGGTCATAAGTGACCAAGTAGAACTGTGGCCAGGCTATGGACATTGAAAAACCTAGTGGATAGATTCAGCCACGGAGTTCACAATAGAAGCACTGAAGTCGTTTCAGTTGGGTCTCAAGAACTTCAAGCCCCCCCTTTTTTTTTTTGAGTTCCTGCTACGAGTTTACAATAGAGGTTAGAAACCGAATCATAACTTGTCATCTCTGTATACGAGTATACGAAGTTTATGCTTACCAAGTTTAGGCTGGGCACCAGTATGCATATATGTTTTGTATTTTTAATGTCTAATAAAAATATGATTTTGTTTAAACAAATTTAAGCGTCCGTGAAGGTCCTATAAGTGCCTAAAAAGCCATCCATGACTTCCAGCCCTTAGCCTTTGGAACAGTCTTTTGGTCTACACATTGCTTTATGGGTGTGGCAGGTAGGACCTTCCCCTCTGGAACATAATCTTATTACTTAAGAGGCTAGAAGCCTGGTAGGCTGAGCTACCAAAAGTTAAAGTAAAACCAAGGAGCTTCTGCTGCAAACCTTGAGGATGAATTTCTCCATAGTGGCTGTAACAGAGAGGCCAGTGAGGGCTTGTTTTCAGGTTTATTTACTGCATTAAGGGTATGCAATAATTAAATGTCCATCACTTGGTCACAGTCCTACTTTAGGGTCTGCAAACATGAAATAGTGGTAGATCACTAATATCCAGCCACCACATATTTTTTTTTCAACATACACACCTGACAAGGTAAATTAGAGTATCAGGCAGAAATTTGTAACCAAGTTGATTAACTTACATCAGCCCCTGGTGCCCTTAATGCCCATGTTCCTAAATTTTACTCAAATTGCCAGTATTGGAAGATTTTTTTAAAAAATGTCCATGGGTACTATACAACATGTTAGATTTGTGATGGCTATTTGGCTGCAATGGATCTCTGAACACTCACATGACATAGGTGCGATGGCGAGTGTTGATGATTGATTAATGTAAATGGGGCACCATGCAAGCAAGAGTGAAAACCACCAAGTCTGCAGCAATAAATAGATTATAATTTCCAGAACGGCAAAAATAATATCTATTTAGTTCTTCATAAAATATCCACCAATGCAGCGCTCATACCATGTCATACCCGCTTGCCAGGGCACGGCAGACCAACAGCATTAAAAAGCCAGCAAGTCCTTCAATTCTTATGTGCTATCTGATACTATGTACACGATGCACTGTTGATGTCTTACCACCACTAACAATTGTACAATAAGCTGTAGTGATAAGCTATGAAAATACACACAGGAGGATGTCAGGGGGTTTGTGTCTGGAATACACATGGAAACAGTTTGAACTGCATACAATTCCACACTTTGATGGTAATATCATTACATCTTACAGTAGAACAGTCCCTTGTATCTGCTGTTGAGAATGGGATGAAAGTTTAATTACTGACAATCCATGGTACTTTAGCCACTGAAAAGGAATTCGGGGCCAATTGTGAAGGTCTTCCTTCAAAGGTTTCCGACAATGTTCTGAACACAGTAGTTTATCTTTTCTTGACGGTTTATAGACAGAGGAGTGTTTAAAAAAAAAAAAAAATGGAAAAGGAATGGAAGTTTTGGCCCATGGTAAATGTGGTCTATTATTTTACTGGATGATAACTAGTCCTGGCTTTATGAAATTTATGCAAGTATTTGTTGAAGAACACCACCAGATTCCTATAGTGTCTAGTGGTATAGTTGTAGAGAGGAATAAAAATACACCTCAGTTTTTGAAGCTGGGAGGCCTCCCCATATGCATAAAAGCTAAACTCTTAAACCCGATGCCTAGGATAATCTGTGTTTTGTAATGGTCATTTTATTTAAGGTTGCAGAGAGCATGCTTTTCCTGCCACCAATGCCGATTATGATATACTGAGAAGCCGTAATGGATTTTTTTCTACACATTTGGCTGTTAGGGCCACTGTGAAAGGGGGAGAGAGAGAGATGATGCAAACCAAAGCCCCTCAACACAGGCCCTTAGAAACACCGGGGCACCATAAACAATAGTGTATTTTGGATACAAGGGTGGTAGTTCTGAATTGACACTGAGGTTATGTAAACAGGGCTCCGCCGTATTGTTCTTTAACAATTATTCCTAAAATAGAAATTCTGCACAGCTGAATGGAGTGTGCACACTGTTTTAATGCAGAATAAAAAAAAAAACCCTTTGAATTGCCCTGCACACAATAAGACTGGCAAGGTAGCACAGAAAACTGGAATTCATATATACATAGCAACCAGTTACAAACTCTTCTAGAGCCCGCAACTTTAAATGAGGATTTGATCTGTTGCTATTGGCAAAGCATGCAGTAGTCGCTCAAAGTATAATAAACAGATTATTCTAGCCAAGTCCAGACATAGACAAAGTATGCCGATACTACCAACGCTGGTCATTAAACGCACACTATGTGCAATGGTTTGTATCCAACTTTGGCCACTTGATTTAATCAGTAACTCTAGCTCTGCCTTGAGGGCACCATGTGTCTTTTTAAATCTGTCACAACCTATATATTACTTTTATAGCTCTGGGCACAATTCAGTACAAGTATGTCTGCTCCTAGAGTGGCATAGTCTGCGCTAAATGAACTGTGTTGCTGTCACAGCTCTTGACTTTAGTTTCCCTTCAAGCAAAAAAAACTGTTCTTCCACCTTTCATTAACAGTATCAGTTTTGGTGCGTTTCGCCCTCTCCCTGCTCCAGTGCTTTTCTTCTTGCCCTCCAATGCCACTTGATGCCTACTTCCAGGCTGAATGACAGCCAGCATCATTCAAAACACTACATGTGAGCCCAAGCTGCCATTGATGCAAACCTTATGGGTGCGTCCTCACTCCAGCCTGGGCCAACGAGTACTGCAGCTCTGAATAGCGTCAAACGGTACAATATTTAACTGGTGGCCCTTTTATGTGCATTATATTATGAACAGCAAAACTGCACTTCTTTCTCTCTCTTTTTTTTGATATAAAAGAAAACTTTGGAAAAACCTTGCTTTTTTGGGGGGGGCTGGAGGGTGATGGATGATTTTGGGTGGATTGGCGATTATGATTGCCTCTGGCATCCCCAATGTGAAAATCCAACATAATAATTTTCTCCACCAATCTGCTCTCTTTCCTTCTCTTGCACATATCACCTGTTTGAGTATTCCTGGGGTAATACAAGATGACAACACCAAATGAAGGCCTGCGAAAACACACAAGGAGATAATGGAGGAAATTTACATGGACCTCATCAGTAAAGCTGAAACATTAATATCTATAAGTATTTATGATAACTCTATCACTCTCCACTAAAATGCATGTTCGTAGTTTTTGGTAAGAGATGAGCATACAAAATTGTGGCGATTACTTTTAGATTAGGAGCAGTGAACCATTATCTGCAGCATAGACAATGACCAGTCTTCCTCAATTGGACTCTCCCTCAGCACAAGCCTGCATCCTGTAACCCACAACCCACCAGCAGGTGTCAGTTTGACAAGAATCACCGGACTGCAATAAGAACGCTGTCTACAAAGACGGCCAAACCTGCCTCCCTTCAGCTGCCACAGGACTGTAGCATGTAAAGTCTAATTTAATCTTCAAATTCATGTCATCAGCCATACTGCATTTCAAAAGCCAGAACATTATGATCCAAATAATATCGAATAAATGACCAAATTGATACCCAATTCAGAGTCTTAAAGCTGAACTCCAAGCAAACGGGTAAATACACAGATGAAATACATATATGGGGTCATTTTACCTGCCAAAAGATTTGTATTTTTATCCATCCACTTTTGGGATTTACACAGCTCTGCCACAAAGCAAAGCCCTGTCTGTTCGACAGGAGACCAGATTTTTCTCTGCTGCAGTAAAGTTTCACTTAGAGGTTTGGTCAGCCTGTGACTGACACTGCAATGAGAAGCAACAGACCGATGAACTCATCTTTATGCTCTCTCCTGTCAGCATGCTACTTGTTAGCACAGCTAACTAGCTCCTTGTGTTGCTCCTTCCTCTCCCAGTCTAACCTCTGCTGTATAGGAGACTGCAAGAGGGTGATACCAAGTCAAATTCAGGTACAAACACTGGTTGCATTTGCAAAAATAAATTTAATCATATATGAATAAATACAGAGCTGCATTCATTTGTGTCTTTTATATCTGCATGGGGTTCAGCTTTAAAATCCAAAATCTATCCTTCCAACAGACCAGATTTGATGACTGAACAGCTTCAATCTTCACCTAAACGCTTCTGAAAAGCAATGCAATATAAAGAGCATTCCAAGAAGTAGATTCTCACCGTGCCACAATCCCATGGAAAGAAAAGAAAAGGTGACAATAGAACAAACTTGGAAGTACATTGGTTGAGAACTCAAGTAAAAATGAGTGGAGACACTAGAGGTTCTCTTGAAAAGGAGTGTGATCCGGACAGCTTTAGGACACATGGGACAGTGGGAAAGTTCCATCAGCATCTTGTTGTTATACCTTGATGTGCGTTTCTCATGGCAAAGGCTATATGATCTTTACAAGACGTTTAGGAGTAAAACAGCCACAAACCCAAAACATCATAAATAATTTGGTACCAAAAAGCCTGCTCAAGGCCATAACAGTATCTCCGATACCACCAAACTAGACTCAACAGGAACATGAAAGATAGCAAGCAAAGTCTTGCCTAAAGTAAGATAAAGTCATATCTTTATTCCCCTGCTGGACTATTACATATATTACAGGTTAAAGCAATGGCCCTACTGCTTTTCTTTCAGAGACTTGTGGGGTTTTTTTTTGTAAGAGGTAAAAAGGAAGAGTAAGGATCCATATTTTTTTGTGTGTGTGTGTGTTCTCCAAATGTGAGCGATGCTGGCTACGATGGAGGACAGTACATGGCTTTGATGAGCAGTCTCACGGTGAGCCTCTGCTGAGGCTGGGATACAGTATCACTGCGGTTGCGGCTACCAATGCCGCCATCACAGTCACCCAAGGCCACGGTTTCTGTAAAAAGGAAAACACATAAAATGGGAGTTAATGACAAGGCACGGAAAAAAGCTTCTTATGGGCCATAATTGGCTGTAACATGGGGGATGCCAACAGCTCTGAAAAGACTGAAAAAGCCGTTTGTGATCTCGGAAACCCTATTGGCACACTGAGAATAGGAAGACAAATGTACTGTTTACCATAATGCAAGAGACAAATTAGAAAGATACACAGAAGGGTAGATGGGCAAGTACACTTGTAGATTAAAGGGTTCGGGTAGACAGATAGGTAAAAACTCAGGTAGGTACATGGAAAGATAGTAGGTTTAGGATAAAGGTTTGTTTAATATTGCAGTACCAAGCGTACTGTTAATGTGCAAAGTACAGTAAACCATGGCATCCAATCGGAAATGTAAAGGAGTCAAAGGATTCAAAATAAATGCTGACTAGCTGCCATAGTTATTGCACAATGCTCCGCTTTTTTCCTACAATGTTACTGCAGTGAAGACCTTACACCTGTAAAGAAAAAATATATACATCCATGTTATCAATAGGTTTTAGCAGCCATTGCAAATACAAACTACCCATGCACATAAAACAGAAAACATCACTTTTTGCACACTCAGTATAAATCCCAACCATTCATTGCATCATCTCTGTATTACATGGAAAGAAAAAGGCTTGCAATAGACATGTATAGTATTAACGAAAAGATTACAAAGATGAGTGTTAAGAAAGGCTGGTCAGGCCATCAGCATAGTAGGAACATTTGTTTGGTGGCTGGGATGCTTGCATTCTACTCGGATAGGATTTATAGCTACTGGCCGGTAGAATTGTTAGCATTGGTGGTGGTATACCAAGAAGTGAATAGGCCCAATTGGATAAGGCTGTGACTGCTTCCCTTTATAATAAAAGGAGAACCCAGTAACATTTGCAAAAGGTAGGGACTCCAAGCACCCTAAATAGAACACAATTTGATGGGATCTTCTACTTTCAAAAATAGCAATGGCCACATAAGAGGGTCTTATTTGGACCTTTGAGAATGTTGAAATGTCTAGAGATTTTAAAATGGCAGACATGGATGCATTTACCATATGTGTTGGGCATGATAACTGAGGGAAAATCAGTGATCAGAAATGCTTTCTATAAAGAATTCCAGCCATAAGTTGAAATTCCCACTCCAGCCATTTTCAGACATGTCAATGATCTCCACTTGACCAAATTTATGGAGAAAGAATGGAAAAGTTTTTAGTTGCTGCATTTTTCTTGGTCATGTGTCTCTAGAGATCCTTCATTGCTGCAGAGTTCACATGACGAAGTTCCCATGAGGTCAGCACTGAAGGAAGCCAGAAGACACATTTCTCAAAGAAAAGCAAGCATTTCAAGTCCTTCGAATGCTTTTTATGTATCCAACAGAAGAGTTTTTATACTCAACTCTCGTGTCTTCTACCTTGTCTTCATTCCAGCGCTACTGCCAACTTAAGACTTTATGAAATTTAACACATTAAGGAATGTGATAGGACACAGAGGGGATACAAGGGTTCAACCATACATCCACACCACGCATTGGGTTTGCAACATTCCCGGAAATAATAAATGCCAGGGTCTAATGAAGGCTGCAGAGCCGGAATGGAGTGAAAAGCATGAAGGAGATAATGGTTTATAAGAAGCAAGTGTAAAATGTATTTTAATTAAGGGGCTCTTGAATTTATAGTGAACTTTTCCATTTCCAATGCAGGGCAAAATAAAAGATTAACTTGGCTCCCACACTCCTCAGCAGTATATACTCACCTTACCACCATTCACCCACTGCTTTGTTCACCAGAAGTGAAGCACCCAGCAATTCCAGGTATAGGTAAACATGTGACTCTCTCTCGCTCTTCCACGTGACAGTACCGGTGCCTTGTGATTAGCCCAGTGCCGCCACATGAGGCCAGGGAAGGAATCCACAGCTCTGTGTAAGCTGCTACAGGTCATTTAGCCTAAACAAGGCTTTTTTCCCCAGTTCCACAGCAGCTGTATTGAGCGATATGAGCAAGGAAACTTAAGTACAGTATATGCTACTAGATGTGGGGTGAGGAGCTACTAGAACTTTACACTTTGCTCTGCATAGGCAAAGGAACCATTCACATGGCTTTGATGCTGAAAGCTGAGACCAGCAGGCCACTGTGGAGGGTTTTAAAAGCCTAATTGCTTGGTTGAGTGTGAAGGAAATGGCTCCTTATCATTTAGAGGCAAGCCATTTCCTACTTTCCTTTTCAAAGTGGAGACCCCAATTATTCAATATCTCTTCAGGCTTTAAAGCCAAACAGCTATGTTGCAACAGGCCTCAATGTCTTATGCAACTATTCTAAGAGACATGGAAAGAAAACCTAATCAATTCTTGACCTTCAGCCTTTCTGAACACTGCTCGTCCTTCTATGCAGGGCTCTTGCATACAAATCAGATGGACAGTCACTGGAGGAGAAGTTTGCGTTTAGCACACACAGGAAGAGACAGACAGATGTTATATGGTTAGTAAATTCCGGTCACTCTGGCAGCGGACAGCCCGTCCTGTTACCTGACCATGCATTAGTGTTACAAGGATGGGACATGTAGGTGGAGAGTGAAGGACAGACAAGAGCAGCGTGTACCTTTCTCTACCAAAACAGGCCGTAACACCAATACAGGATAGCCACGACTACACCAAAGTAAACGGCTGGGACGGGTAGTAACGCAGAAGGCTGAAGAAAGGAAGGGATATTAGAAATCATTCAGGTGCTTTAAATCAATACAGCGTACGAGAATGTGATTTTGCTGGTAATAGGACAGCAATCAAAAATCTGCCACCTGTAACTTATATCAAAAGAAATCAAAACAGAAATCTAAAACATCTAACACAATATTTTGAAGAAATAAAAAGGACTAATGTGCTGCCTCACCATCTACTGTATAGTACAGTCTGATATCTTTGCTCATAAAAGAATTTAGAGTGCCACCACTTGTCTCGAACTGCAATCACCCTCGCTAATGTGAACTTTGTAACGCGTTGCACCTCTTCCCTGCTAGTTAACAAGTTATTCCTCTCCAAAGATTTATCCGGGTCTCAGTGGCCAATAAATGCACTGGCCCTTTTCAATCAATAAGAACACAGTAGGGCAGGGCAAGCAGGCTAATCCATTCTGATTGTTAATTAGTTCCTAAAGATCATTATTCCATGAGCTGCTGACTTATGTTTCAAGCTGCAGACTTGGAAGCTATTAACTTGCACCTAGTGAGTCACCGACAAGGAAAATGCATTAAAGTAGAACCAAACCCAAATACCAATAATTTTATATAAGCTTTACCAGTTTGTCATTTCAAAAGATATTTTTCAATCTTTCAGAGCTATTTCAGTAAAATAATTTAATTTTAATGAGCATTATTGTGGTCTCATGTTATAATGTGGGGGTCTGCAGAACAAACCAGTGAGATGGACAGACAGTTTCCCCATGGTCTTTGTGTTGCAATTTATACTGAACAGGGCAGTGTTCAGAACACAAGCAGCAATTAAGGTATTTTAGAGTTTGTTTCTTTTTTATATTGGGGGGGTTGGAGTTGGGTATAGTGATAGATCTGTTGATCTTGCCAGAAATCTTGTGAGCTGATCATTTCCTGTGCTTACTGTTAGCAAAGTGGAACTACACCCTCCTTTCCATCGAAGGAAGGTGCCATCTTGGCCTCTATTTGAATTGCAGTTGCCACAGTGCTGCACATGTGATCAACTATCACACTAGCCATCTGA